TTTTCTAATCCTGCTGTTTAAGGATTTGTATTTGCTAGTGTTTATGTTTTTATATTTTCTTCTTTCATTCATGAGAGTTAGTATTTCGTCTGTCATCCACATATGTCTTTTCTTTGGTATTGGTCCACGTATTTCTTCTCCCGCTTCTTTTAAAGCTTGTTGAACCTCTCTCCAATTTTCATTTACGTCTTTAGAGTTGGTGTTTTTTGACTTGATGGGTTTAAGATTATCATTGATTTTCTGTCTAACTCTTTGTTCTATCTGAGTATCTTTTAATCTTGTCACATCGAATTCTTTTCTAATCTTTTTGTTTTTTAACTTTTTTAATTTTGCTTCCATTTCGACAATAATAGGGACGTGATCCGAGTATATATCGGCACCTGGATAAGTTTTTGCTGATTTTATTGAATTTTTAAACCTATTTCTGATCAAGACAAAGTCTATTTGGTTTCTGACGATGTGTGATTCTCGGTCTGCTGGTGATTTCCACGTGTATAATCTACGTTTAGGTAGATCAAATAAGGTATTTACTATAACCAGATCTTCATTTTGGCAAAATTCTAGGAGTCTATCTCCACGTTCATTTCTAACGCCCAATCCAAACTCACCAATCCATGGTGCCACTGCTCCTTTACCAATTTTGGCGTTAAAATCCCCTAGGATGATTGTTATCTCACATTTTTTTGTTAATTTTAGAGCGGCATTGAGTTGATTATAGAATATTTCAATTTCCTCCTCATCTTTGTCGGCTGTTGGAGCATACACCTGTACTATGTTTATCGGAACAGTCTTTGAATTAAGTTTCAGAATCGCGACTCTGTCTGATATTGGAGTAAAGCTTATTACTGTTCTATTAATTTTGTAATCAACGAGAATTCCTACGCCATACAAATGTGATGAAGGAAAATACATGGGTAAAAACCCTTTAAATTACATATAGTTATAAAAGATTATACATCTTGTTGATAAAAAAACTGTGATGTTCAGTATTAAAATAAATATGACTTCAGGTAACATACATTGTTGAATTGAGTTCCAGAGCCGGAGAGTAAACCTCTACGCACGGAGAACAGCTGGAAACTGATTGACAATATACCTATGAAACAGTAGAATTTTCCAAGGTTCAGTATTCGGAATTCTACTTTTTAGTCTTTATATCTCAAATAATTTATATACTAGTTTTAGATATCTTTGCTACGTTAACGATATAGTATCTGTTACTAGGCGTAAATTTACGGCAACCACAAAGCAAACTCTATCAGTAAGTTTTAATATTTGGTGAATAAAAAAATGGAGACTTCATAATAGTGCTACTAAACTCAAGTGGTGTTCTCATCCCGTCAATAAAATAGCACATTGAAAATTATACGTAATGTCTCAAGACACATACTTCCATATTATTAATTTCTTAAATATCTTGGACTTAATCGAAAAAATGTCATTTAAAAGCCTTGAGGAACAACTCGAGGATCTTAAGCCGCTGCTTTGCGATGTTTAGCTCTTGGTTTGGTGTATTTTCTGCTGAGTGTTGTGTTCCCGTTAAGATATGCAAACTTTACGTACGGTATATATCGATACCTACTTTAACAAACTATGATTATGATACCAGATCATTGAAATATATCATACTGCAGTGGCTTCCCATCCTATTGAATATAACAACACGTTATATCTGTAGATAAAATTCCTTAGTAACAGAACTTTAAAAGATTAAAACAATCCAGATGTACCAATACACTAAGATATTCCTGATTTGGGAAGGAACGGGTCAAAATCTAGATAACCACCTCTGTTAACCTATAGGTCCCTGTTACTGGTTAATAAAAGGTTATTAAAATAATATATGGAAAAAGACCATATAATCACATATTTACATAGTACTTCTTCTTGACCAGCTAATCTCAGGTTTTGATGTAATGTGCAAGAGATGGGTGAGACTAATTTGAATAAGGACTGTGTGCGGTAGATGTGCTGACATACAAAAGAAGTGGAACAAAGTTCCGTCTTCAACTTTTAACTGCTGCCATCCATGACAAACCATAGAACGCGTTAACTTTTAATGCCCTTTCCAAGCATATACAGGTCCATGATAGGACTTCCTTGGAGCAGCATCAGAGGCAATAAACTAAAATCTTAGCTTCGACGTCTAATATCCATTATTTTAAAAAGAAGACGTGTAATCAGTATGCTTCCAGTTATGTCTAATGGGGCTAAAACAGTTTTCTTAACCCAGGCTGCAGCAACCAAACATAGAGAAGTCAAAAGACGAATGAAACGCCCACTACTTGGACTGATTATTAAAGACAAAGTTAGAAACAAAGAAATGAGAAGAACAGGTGTCACAGTGTCACAAAGCGCATATCATAGCTGAAGCGGAACTTGGCGGGCTACGTTGACAGAATTAATTAAGGGTAGTGGGCTCAAAAAGTTACGGCTGACAGAAGCAGCAAAAGTGGACTACCTACACGATGGACAGACGACGTCAAAAGTATCGCTGAGAATTGGCTGCAGAAAGCTCAAAACAAACAAAACTAAAAGAAATTAGGGACGTTTATGTTTAACTTTTTTTTCCTCACATGACGCATCAACCACGCAGGATAATTGGCGTGTATGGATTGTGAACAGAGTTAAAACTTAACAATAGAATATTAACCATAGCAATACATAAATAGAAATAAACCTAAATCTATACAAAGTAAAATATTAAATTTTTGATAACAGTTTGCAGTCTTTGAGAAAGGCGAAAATATTTTTAGTTTGGATGATGATGATAAGATGACCAAATTGCCAAATTCAGGAAAAATAAACCTGCTAAATCTCTTCCTTTTGCTTTCCTTATTTGGAATGCTATGATTAGTCCATGGTTTCCCTGTAAGCAGGGTATTTGGTAAGCAGGTATAAACGAAGAAGAAATAGAAAAAGCATATACAGATATGAAAAGAAATAAGGCTCCGGGAGACGATGAAATTCTAATTGAAATGTTAAAAGAAGGAGGGCAAAAGATAAAAGACTAACTAAAGATATTGTTCAATAAATGTTTGTTTGAAGGACAAATACTGTAAGAGTGGAACAAGGCAAATACAATTCTGATATATAAGAAAAGAAACGGATCAAAATTAGCTAACTATAGACCAATATCTCTCCTGTCACAAATCTATAAAACTTTCACTTAGGTGATCACAACTAGACTAAACAACAAATTTGATGCATACCAACCAGTTGAGCAGGTAGGATTTAGAAAGGGGTACAGCACAACTGACCACTTTCACACTCTTAAAATATTGTTAGAAAAGACCAAAGAATACAACCTTCCAATATATCTAGCGTTTGTTGACTATGAAAAAGCGTTTGACAGCATAGATTTATGAGCAGTGGAAGAAGCGCTAGATAATTGCCGACTAGATTCACGGTACATAATGTTAATCCACAATATATATCAAAATACCACTATAAGAATTCAGCTAGACAGAGATTTCCAAACTCCAATAATTAGAATTTGTAGAGGTGTCAGACAAGGGGATACAATCTCACCCAAACTATTTACTCTGGAGTTGGAAGACATTTTTATATCTATAGACCGGGACAATAAAGGGATTTGTATAAACGGGAAATATTTAAATCATCTAAGATTCGCCGATGATGTGCTCCTGATAGCAACAACTATGGAACAACTACGAATAATGATTTCAGGCCTAGAAAAAACATCTCTTGAGAAAGGACTAAAAATTAATCAAAAGAAAACTAAAATAATGATAATACAGAAGACAGATCAGTAATTACCATAGGTGGAACAAACATAGAACACGTCCAAGAATATATTTACTTAGGACAAGCTATCAGAGCAGACAAAAGTAACCAGACTAAAGAAATAACCAGAAGAATAAGAATGGGGTGGGCTGCATTCGGAAAACTCTCATATACTATCAAAAACCAAAAAATACCTTTAAAATTAAGAACGAATGTATTTAATGCATGCGTTCTACCTGTTCTGACATATGATGCCCAGACGTGGACGTGCACCAAGAGCAACTTAGATAGAATAAAGAAAACTCAAAGAGCTATGGAAAGACAAATGTTGGGAATATCGTTGAGAGATAAAAAGAGGAACGAGTGGATAAGATGCAAAACCAAAACAACAGACGCTGTCGAACATGCATTGAAATTAAAATGGAAATGGGCTGGGCATAATGAAAGATATCAAGATGGAAGATGGAATAAGGAAATTGGCCACTGGAAACCATATACTGCAAAAAGGTCAAGCGGTCGACCAAAAATGAGATGGAAAGATGGACATTGAGCAAAGCGCAGTATAGATATATAGATAGGGTATTTGAGTTTATCATATGGTAAGGTATCTATGTAGAAGTCAGTACCGTTGATTACTGTACGGTCCAGTGTCTAGGTGAGTGTCACCTTTACTACAATTAAGTCCCTGGTGTAACAAAATAAAATGAAAAAGATCACCATGCCTGTAAGCATTGCCTACACGGACAAGCAGCTTTGCTGCTAAGCTCCGTTAATAATTAATCAAGTAGTAAAACTTGGGCCAGCTTTAGGAATAGTTCTCTAAAACCAGATGCAAAAAATTCAATTGATTTATTATCTGACAAAGTGTATTAGAGTGTGTAAAGGGTAAAAGAGTATTAACTAGATATAAGTAGTATTTATTAATAATTCCTAAAGTTACTTTATCATAAATTTTGTTTTAATTATTAGGAAAATAGCATTCAACATTTATTACTTACAATTCAAGAAATCCCGTTTAAAAATGTGTGTAATTAACCCTCACTACGTTAATCAGTATGCACAATAGATTTTATTGATTGCGTAATGACTATGTGAGTATGTTCTTGAATTATTTCAAATAATGAAATAAGAAAGGCTGCGTTGACCCCACCAATAATACAATATCGATGTCAAATACTATATATTGTAAAAAATGTTATCACTTAAACATAAGTCAATTTGTTTTCTAGACAAAAACAATCAACTAAATCAAAATGTTCAAGTTGGTAAGTGCATTTAAGAATTTATATTTATTGTTTTTTTCTTTCTTTAATATTTTAATCTATGGTTCAGCTTTATCCGTTGTTGATATTTTACATTAATTTAATGGAGCAATATTTAGGTCACAAAATTTAATTATATAAGAAACTTTAGGACCTTTTTTTAACTTATTATATCCACATGCTTTACAGTTCTGATAATATATTCTCTTTGTTCATTGATAGCTTTATCTTCTCTTATTTTGATTATTGTTTCTCTATTTAACTTTTCAGTATAGCTTTTACTAATTTTCAAAGAAAACGAGATTACTTATATGTTATATATTTTTGTTGTTAATTTGACAGCTCTACAACTATCAAATATTTTCTGAATTCAGCTTTTCACTTGCTAGATGAATGTATAAAATACATGCCATATGCAATTTAATTATTTTTAGATCAAATAGAAATAAATAAATCTGTGAAATGATTTTTTGTTTGAAAAAAAAAAATAAGCAATAATTTTTTTAACAATAATTTTTGTAAGCCAAGCACTGTCCACTGTTCATACGGTTACTGAATGTTTAAGATTGCCAAAAGACTTTTATTTAACGTTTCCCGTCACGACATTATTTCGTCCTTTAAGTCCTGATTATGGGTAGTGAAGAAATATATCTTAAAATTCGTTACTATGCATGTTCAATTCGTTATAGAACTATTATGCGACGTCTGAGGAAACGTGCTAGTATACTTTTCTAGAATTAAACGAACATCCTTTTACCAACTAGAAAGACAACTTTTAACATACATGTAGACAGATTTTTTGTAATCTATGAAGAACTACGATTTCTATATTTTTGGTTCTAGTGTGCTTATTTCTTTAAGGACTTTGGCTATCATCACAGGCCAATTTACTCCATCTCCCACAGTTCTGAAGAGATCTATTGTTATTTTTTTACTTCACCACTTTAAATTTTTGAACCAGGACGTGCTTAGTCTCTCCGGTTCAATTTTTACTTCCACCTGTCCTTTAAAAATCAATGGCATCAACTAATATTTTTTCTTTCTTATTAAATAAGTTAAGTACGTCATTTTTTCTTTCCTTGGTAGTGTTACCGTCATAGTATTTTTTTTTCTATTTTCATCTGTTTTTAGGATTAACTGTTTTTAAACGTGTAATGCGCAATTTTTAAATTCTTCGATAAGACTATATCTCATAGCTAGCAGGGCTTCTTTTTAGTTGCCTTCGTAATCCAGGCTTTAACTCAATCTAACAGAACAGAGAATTTGTAGTATCTCAATATCTAATTTATTGTTCCAATTTTTCACTACATAATATTACTTTAATTTTATTGTAGGCGCATCTGGTTATCTCAATTCGTCATTTTATTTTAAGGCTAGGGTTCCATTGTTTATTTTGCTCACATCATCTGGATACTTTCTCTAAGGCTTTTCCTTTACCATATTTTTTTTCGTCTTCAATATTGTTATCGCTAGCAATTATGGTTTTTGTGTTCACAGCCATTACATGCCTATTACAGTACTACCTAGTGCCACTAATCAAAATTGGCAGCTCTTTTTTCTATACAAAATGGAGTATCGTATCGTTTACATCTCTTAAAGTATTAACTAGTGTTTCGTTAATTCGGTTTCTATAGCAGCTTAATTCATGGTGATCAACGGAATGTACACAATGTTTAAGAACAGATAGTAAACCAAGACATAAAATTCAAAGAGATGTAAGTACTTGATATTGCTTTTTCCACATACGGTAACCTTATATAACAAGTGAGGCCATCAGAAAGGGAGAATAATGTGTATGTTCAGTAAAACAAGTAAACAGAATAGAAGTTCTGAATCTAGTTTCTTGTGGCATTTTAAATTAATTACTATTTAAATGGGAATAAGCCACAATTAAAGGTTAAAGTACGTTTATTGACGTTTCAATTTCCACTTTGGAAATCGTTCTTATTTGTATTTGTATTTAATTTTTAAATAATATGTTATTTAAAGTTAAAAATACGGAAAACGTGCCACTTTTTCTTGTTTTTTTTTTGGCATTGGTTTGAAAGATTTAAACAAGTAGGTAGAGGTAATGGATTTTGGGAACAGCTATGACCTTGAACATTTCACATAAACTTGTATACTAAATAGGCATAATGCATAGCTCTTGTCAAATCCAATACATTAATAATATAAATTACTAGTTATAACTGGGAATAAGCCACAATTAAAGATAAAAATACGTTTATTGACGTTTCAATTTCCAATTCGAAAATCGTTCTCAAAATACAAACAGTAAATTAAACAAATTTTGTTTTTTGTTACATAGTGAAAAAATTCTTCTAATAATTTAATTTTATCTGACTCATTTATATTGACAATTCAGACATACATTATGCATTTTAAAGTAGACGACTTTAAAATGATATTGTTAATATTGTTGAGTTGCGCTCCTGGGACGGCTTTACTTATAAGATAATTCATTCGATTACATGAAATCAACTTTAACTTAAGAATATCCGTCAGAAAATTATCTGCTATTGTAATTGTTTGACAATAATTTTTCACTATGTAACAAAAAAACAAAAATTTGTTTAATTTACTGATTGTATTTTGAGAACGATTTCCGAATTGGAAATTGAAACGTCAATAAACGTATTTTTATCTTTAATTGTGGCTTATTCCCAGTTATAAATAGTAATTAATTTACAATGCCACAAGAAAATAGCTTCAGAACAATATTAATAATATAATTACATATCTTTGATTCTGAAATATTGTAAAAGACTTTAAAGAGTATGAGTAAGAAAAGAGATATTTAGTTATATTCTTTGTGGCATTTTCAAGGTCATAGCTGTTCCCAAAATCCATTACCTATAAAAGAAATAATAAATAAGACTTACTCACGATCAATTTAATTTAACTATCCAGACGACCGGTTTCGCTTTCTACAATATGCAAAGCATCTTCAGGTCTCGATACAAAGTTAAATAAATGCTGAAATAATTAAAAATTATAATATATAATAAAATTATAATAATAAAAATTAAAATAAGGGTGTTGTCTAATAAAGATAAACAAAGATAGGTGATATAAATTACAGTAATATTATACCAATATTACATGTCTGTGGTTTTTCAAAATGAATAAAAAGTTTTAGCAGACAAGGTAAGACCCACAAATTGGTATAAAATAGTCTAATAAATTGTAATAAATTAGTAAATGAACAAATAAATAAAACATTACTTACATGACGGTACTCTATTAATTGATGGTTGGAAGAACATGGTTCAAACTATCCTGTATTGTTAAATAGAGAACTTAAGTCTGCTATTGTAATTGTTTGACAATAAACGTGAAGTTCTTGAGGAGATAGATTTTATCCGATGAAGTAGAGATAGGTGTAATGTGATTGTTTGTTAGATGGAAGTGATGTTCTATACCACTGAATTATTTAAAATTTATTTATATTTATTCAAGAGATATATTTATAAATGTGTGTTATTTATTAAGATTTTATTTTATAAAGGTGACAGTTGTATAACAATGAATGAGATTAGATGTACAAATTGTGTGGATGTGCAATTTTTTCGACTTGTAATTATCAAATTACTTTGATTAAGTTCTATTGGCATATATGGCAAGTGATTGCAAAGTCAAGTATATAAAAAAAGGGACGAAACAAACATTAAATTTAAAAAGGGGGAGGACTGGGATGCACTACATCTCAGACTTGGAGACAATGAGTTTTTTATATTATCTATTAGATTTTAGAGGTAAATTTGACAAATGTAGGTTAAAGTGTGACAGTTCTTCTTCTATTTCTAAATACTGTAAGCCAAGTTATCCAGTTTTATGAAGTAAGCTAATACTAATGAATGTCTCTACAATTTTTTAATTTTAGATATCAAAAGTAAGTTGATGTGTTTTAGACAAGTATGATTTAGACAAGTACTTACATTAAATTAAATATACTGATGCTAATTTATTCTTCTTCTTTAAGTTCCATCTTCTATCGAAGGTTGGAAATCATCATGGCTATGCGGACTCTGTTGACTGCCGCTCTAAAAAGTTCTGCACTACTGCATTCAAACCATTCCCTTAAGTTCTTAAGCCAGGATATTCTTCGTCTTCCCACATTTCGCTTTCCTCGGATTTTGCCCTGCATAATAAGTTGTAATAATGCGTATTTTTGCTCTCTCATGACATGTACCAAGTACTCAAGTTTTCGTCTTTTAATAGTTAATATTATTTCCGCCTCATTTCCTATCCTTCTAGTTACTTCCATGTTTGACATTCTGTGAATCCATGATATTCGTAGGATTCTTCTGTAACACCAAAATTCAAAGGCGGCCAGCTTATTCAGATGAACTTGTTTTAGTGTCCAAGCTTCCAGACCATAAAGAATAGTAGAGAACACGTAACATCGAAGCATTCTCAGGCGTAGTTCTAACCTTATATCCCGACAACAAAGAAACTTTTTAAGTTTAATAAATGATGTACGTGCTATTTCAATACGTGTCTTAATTTCTTTGGTTTGGTCTACATCTGATCTTATCCATGTTCCTAAATATTTATAGTTATTAACATTCTCAATTGCAGTATCTTCAATAGTCAATTGGATATTTGCATGTGCAGATTTAGTCATGATCATGCATTTAGTTTTCTTTAAATTTATCTTCAGTCCGTACTCATGACAGCGTTCATTAAGGCGTTGCATTAGGTTCTGTAAATCATTGTTGTTATCCGTAATTATTACTGTATCGTCTGCAAAACGTAAGTTATTCAAAACTTCTCCATTGATAGATATACCTTCTATTGAGTCTGAGAGCGCTTCTTGAAATACCGCTTCACTGTAGACATTGAAAAGTAGTGGGGACAGCACGCAACCCTGGCGGACTCCTCTCTGTATTTTGATATTTTCGGTGTACTGGCTGTCAACTCTTACCTTGGCAGTTTGATTCCAATATAAATTAGATATAATTTTCAGATCACGACTGTCAATATTTTTGCTTTTTAATATATCTACAAGCTTTTTATGTTGAACTTTATCAAATGCCTTTTCAAAGTCTACAAAACATAAGTACATATCCTGATTCATGTCCATGCATCTCTGAGCCAGCACATTCAAGCCGAACAAAGCATCTCTTGTACTCATACAATTTCTAAAGCCAAATTGTGTGTCACTAATCTCATATTCAAGAGTTTTAACAATTCTGCTGTGAATTATTTTTAAAAATGTTTTAAGTGTGTGACTCATTAAAGCTATTGTTCTGTGGTCTGAGCAAGTTGTTGAACTTGGTTTTTTGGGAATTGCTACAAAGGTTGATTGCAGCCATTGTCTGGGGATTGTGGCAGTCTGATATATTAGATTAAAGAGTTCAACCAGTACATCAATAACATCTTCATCGATGAGTTTTAATAATTCGATGGGCACCTCATCTGGTCCAGTAGCTTTACCCTCTTTTGTGTTTTTGATGGCATAGATGACTTCTTCTCTTAATATTGGTGGTCCAGTATCCTCGGTGATTTCTAATGATAGTTCTTCTCTTTCATCATTAAATAGTTGTTGAATGTAACTGGTCCAGTGACATAATCTCTCCTTCATATCAGTAATAATATCCCCTTTATCATTTTTAAGGATATTCGTTTTTGTACGCTTTCTAGAACCTGTCATTTCTTTGATTTTTTTGTGTAAATTAAAGCTATCGTACTTTTTATCCAGATCTTCTATTTCCTTGCATCTATCGGAGAGCCACCTCTCTTTTGCCTCTCGAATTTTCTTTCTGATGTTTCTCTAAATTTCTTTGTATTTATTCAAGTCTTTTGCTTTATGTTTTCTTCGTTCTTCCATGAGTTCAAGAATTTCTACTGTCATCCAAGGTTTTGTTTTTTCTTTAAGTGGTTTGAGGGTTTCTTTTCCAACTGACGCAAGGGCATGTTGAATTTTTCCCCATTTTTGGTCAATAGTTAGAGTTTCTGCATTATCTTCTTTGACTTTCCTTAAGCTCTCGCTTACTTTAAATTTGGTTTCCACATATGTGTTGTCTTGTTTGAGACGTCTTGTATCTATGATTTTCTTGGTACTAGGGCTGTTGACCTTCTTTAGTTTCACTCTCATCGACAAAACAACTGGGTTGTGGTCGGAGGATATGTCCGCTCCTGGATAAGTTTTAGATGATATTATAGAATTTCTATATCTTCTGTTGACGATAATTTATTAGGAAAAAGCTTTTTGGCAATAACGTCAGAAGATAAATACTTTTTAAACTATTTTAAAATAAACGTAACATTAAACGAGTTGTTTATGATAATATGCAGAGAGATTTTATTATTAAACTAGAAATGTAGTATGAAAATTACGCCAAAGGAAGATGTTTATATATTTTTGTTTATTCTCAGTGTATCGTAGCAGCCCTTCTTGCCCTCTCAGTAGCTTCCCCGGCTCCTGAAGCCAAAGCTGACCCGAAACCTCAAGTCCTAGCGGCCTATGCAGCTCCTGTAGCCTACACGTCCGCCTATTCCGCAGCACCAGTTGCCTATTCAAGTTACGTAGCTCCTGCAGTTTATGCCAGCGGCTACTCTGTTTACTCACCATATACTTCTCCATACGTAGTATATTAGATATAATAGTGAAGCCAGATGTATTTATTTAAATTTTTTATTTAAATTATTGTGAATTCATTGTGCCTATAAAATAAACTTAAAGCAAGTCGATGAGGAGTTTTCAGTTTTAATTACCCTATTTTAATAAAAATAATTATGAATGAGCCAGCAATTGGTGGTTCTCAAATAATGGAAGCATAGAGAACTATCACCAATCTAATGAAAAACACCCATAACTCCTTAAGCAACTTAATTCTTATAGAAAATTGAAAAAATCACTATAAAAATTTACTCCAGGAAATCAGATTGGAATATATGGAAGAGAAATACAGTGTGTAAAAGCCAAATGGAATAAATTCATTATTTAGGTTACTGTACATATTTATAAAAAATCCCGAAAAACGTCAAATTTAAATTATTTGACAAACTTGACATTCTTTAACGTAAAAATGCAACCCCTACTTTCAACCCGCTTAGAATGACAGGTACACCCCAATTTTTAAAATAGTGTACCGTTTTTAAATAAAACGAGCGGTTCGAATTTATATAAATATATTTATTTATAACTTTACAGTTCGGTATTCTCTTATCAACTAAACTAACTCCTAAGATCGTTACATATATATATATATATATATATATATATATATATATATATATATATATATATACCAAAGTTACTATTTTCTAGAAAGTTCCCACCTCGTGACTGATCTTTCTCGAAATATCGAGTCGCTTTCGAGATGCCGCCGCGCCGCATGGAAGCATGAGGTGCTGTTTCGAGATGCAACCGTTATACGTGCCTCGTTAAATGCACGTTCGTAACACTGCTCCCCTCTTAGATCTGAGCGTCCCGATCAGCAACTCTATATGTAGGCCCAGGATGGCGGAATCTACAGGACTCTCCAGCTCTGCATGAACCCCTCAGAAAGAAATAACAGTCTACTGTCTTTGAAGGACACAATCTCTTTGGATTAGTGCAACACACGGTAATTCTTACACCGGTTTCTCGGAAGATCACTTCTAGCATGCTTCTGACAATCTTCCAATCCAGATTATCTAGTGCATGGCCTATCTTGGGTAAGGCCAAATTCTTAATGTCGTAATTGCAGACGATTTTCTTCAAATTAGTTAGAGCACACCATATATCCTCGTAGGTTGCCCTGTCTGTATACGACTTCCTGGTCACCATATACAGCAAAGATCGAGAACCATCTTCTAATCTCAGTACTCTTCCAACTTTAGGCTGCTGGTTTTTTAACTCGTCCAAACGACCGAACTTCTTATAAAATACGGATGAGATTCCTTTAGTCATCTCAAGATCTTGGGCAACACAGTGGGCTAGAGTGACGTTATGCGGAACACTAAAAAGATCCTGCTGAACTTCTGTCGTCACGCCGAATCTAGCATTCTTTCTCTCTGCGTAATTTGACATAAACTCCTTAAAGCTTGGTCGCCGTATATCTTTGATCTCATGTTGAAGGGTTCGGACTTCTTCGGTTTCATTTGAGCCAGCATAAGGTGCAAGACGATTTATGTGAACTACTTTTGGTTTACCTTTCGGCAACTTCTTAATTCGGTATATTACGTCATTTATTCTCTTTTTAATTTCATACGGACCCTCCCATTGTCTTTGCAGTTTAGGAGACAAGCCACGACGACGTTGTGGATTATAAAGCCAAACAAGATCACCTACTTCATAGCTTTCATTCTTGCATCGAGAATCGTATTGATCTTTCATTCTGTCACTGGCTAACTGGATGTGTTGTCGGGCAAGTTCATGAATGTTGTTCATTCTTAACTTTAGGCGGTCGACATAATCTTCGCTTGCAACATATTCTTCAGAAGGTCTGCAGCCAAACTCTAGGTCGCAGGGCAAACGAACTTCACGACCTAACATCAGGCAGGTTGGAGTCTGGCCCGTAGTTTCATTCACGGCCGAGCGGTAGGCCATTAGGAATAAATGAATGTGCTGGTCCCAATCTCTTTGATGTTCTGATACAACTTTGGACAGGTGTTTACCCATCGTTCGGTTCATTCTCTCGACCATTCCATCTGATTGAGGATGAAGGGGTGTCGTTCTGGTCTTATTGACACCAATCAATTTACAAACGTTTTGGAAAAGGTTTGACTCGAAGTTTCGCCCTTGGTCGGAGTGGATCTCCAAGGGAACACCAAATCGGCTAAAGAATTCTTTAACCAGTACCTCTGCAACGGTAGCAGCTTCTTGATTTGGTAGCGCATAGGCCTCAGTCCATTTCGTAAAATAATCCATGGCTACCAGGATATATTTATTTCCATCATTTGTCTCTGGAAGTGGACCTGCAATATCGATTGCTACTCTCTCCATAGGACTACCAACATTGTACTGTTTCATGGGTGCCCTCTTTTTACCAACTGGACCATTACTGGTTGCACACAGTTCACATTTCCGGCACCATCTTCTTACATCATCTTTACAGTTCACCCAATAGAACCGTTCTCGAACCTTTTGCAGAGTCTTCGTAATACCAAAGTGTCCACCTGATGCACCGTCATGCAACTGACGCAATACTTCTGACACTTTACTTTTAGGTACAATCAACTGAAGCTTAGTTTCTGTACCATCATCGTTCTCAAAGGTTCTATAAAGAAGATCATCTTTTAGCACTAGGCAATTCCATTGGCTCCAGTAACACTTGACTTCAGGACTACATGCACTAATGTCTTGCCAAGAAGGTCTTTCACTTCGACGCACCCAATCCAATACTCTTTTTATACATGGATCATCTGCTTGAGCGTCTTGTAGCTGTTGAGGCTGCCATTGATCATTAATAACAGTTGTTCGCCTCACGGGGCAAAGTCGTTCTTCTAATTCAAGACAATGATTACGATTTGCACTGTATGGCCGTCTTGATTGAACATCAGCATTTAAATGACTTTTTCCAGCCAGTGCTCGATCTGTTCTAGCTTTCTGACTGTTGTGTTATTTTCTTGCACTTTGTGGCGAATGTGACCTTCGTTGTTACCATTCCAACATATGGGTTCACGTCTCTTCGGCATCATGTTACGAACTACTTTCCGTACGATTTCCTCCAGACGTTTATCGTTTCGTTCGTCACTCTCTTCAGAGGTTCGTACTTGATAGCTCCGTGAAACTCGACTAGCTATCTCATGTTCCAAGGCAATGGCGAGCGCTTCATCTAAAACTTTCGGTCTTGCTAGTCGTAAAGCTTTCTGTAGTTCACTGTCTCTCAACCCATTGACGAAGGCATCTACAGCAATTTCTTCCAAAATATTGTCTGGTGCCTCTGGATAGGCCAACAGCGCTATACGAGCAATATCTGCTTCAAATTCTTGCAAACTCTCACTTGCTCGTTGATTCTACTTCTTATTTGTACTTTGTAGACTTGTTGTAGATGGGCATCTCCGTAACGTTTGTCTAGTCGAGTAAACAAGGTCTGGTAACATTTTTCTTGACCCTTAGGAATCGATCTTAGGATATCTGCAGCATCACCTCGTAAAGCAGCAGTCAAGGAAACAGCTTTTTCTTGTTCTGTCCAATGATTGGCTGTCGCAATAGCTTCAAATTGTCTAAGGTATATGGACCAAGAGGACTTTCCATCAAATGGTGGTAATTTGAATCTCATATGATGTGTCGTTTCGTCTCTCGGTGATTCTTCTTTCACTACCGGATCTAAGGCTACCGTATTAATTGGTGGTAGCACTTTCGTGTTAGTTATCATGGTCTCTAATTGTTTGATCTTCTCTTCTACGTCTTCTATCTTGTCGTTTACATTTTTCTGTAACTTATCGAATGTTCTTGAGACTTCTTCAAATTTCTCATTGTTTTGAATACATATTTCTTTAATTATTTGTGAAGTCTCATCGAATCTTCTAGATACATTTTCGAATGTTTCATCGAATCTTTTGGAAACATTCTCTAATTTATCATCATTTTTTCTAGAAGATTCTTCAATTTTTTAGAAGTTTCTTCAATAATCATTTGCGACACATTTTCAAATTTACTATCATTTTGTTAGAACTCTCTCGATCATTTGTGAGACATTCTCAAATTTCCATCAATTATTTTGTTAAAACTGCTTCTTCTGCTGATTGAACTGGAATGTCTCTGGGTCGTCTCCATTCTTGTTGAGAACAGTCTTCAGTCGTTCTTGGAGGATCTTCTTGGACCCGCTGCAGTCTTCATCGCGTTCTTCTAGTTGCTCACGCAACTGTTTCACTGAAAGTTCTACTAGCAGCATCTTTGGTCAGGCACACACGTACTTTTTAAATGTTCTTTCGTACAACGATCACTACCGAACTACGCGGATGTTCCCGACGAACAATACTTTTCAAAAGTTCAATAGTCTCTTTTTTCCACTGTTAGATTTATTTTTAAATAAATCAATTGTCCTCACACTGTGACACCAATTGTACCGTTTTTAAATAAAACGAGCGGTTCGAATTTATATAAATATATTTATTTATAACTTTACAGTTCGGTATTCTCTTATCAACTAAACTAACTCCTAAGATCGTTACATATATATATATATATATATTATATATATATATATATATATAATATATATATATATATACCAAAGTTACTATTTTCTAGAAAGTTCCCACCTCGTGACTGATCTTTCTCGAAATATCGAGTCGCTTTCGAGATGCCGCCGCGCCGCATGGAAGCATGAGGTGCTGTTTCGAGATGCAACCGTTTATACGTGCCTCGTTAAATGCACGTTCGTAACAATAGGAAGTATATGCTTGTGATATATCGTTTGAAAGCTCTTTTCATTCTCCATTCAAAACTGTTGTCGGTTTCAAGTTTATTAAGATTAATTAAGATAAAATAAATTAAAAGCATGTGGTTACCGAAATTCGCTAAAATATACTCAAAACTTATTTCCTGTTTGAGTCTTGATAATGAGAAAGTGAACAAAAACCATAGCAATGTGGTTTTTAGATGGTAACCATTAAAAAAGAATTTCCGTGGCAACTTTATTTTAACACGCATTAGTTAATTGTTT